TGATCCACATTCGTATGCTTAGCAACGGGCTCATATTTACGACGGCTGCAGTGTCCCTGGGGTCACGTGACCCGTTTGCGACAAGCAGAGTCAATGGGGAACCAGACTCACTAACGTCTCACCAAGTTAGCTAGTGCAGCGATTTGCTTAACAACTGTGGCAAGAAAGTTCATAAAATGGGGGCAAAGCTGACTTAACAACTTACGTTTTGGGCTCAGTTATGGTCGTAGGTCAAGGACTAACCTGCGCAAGAAAGCAGCCAGCCAAACTGAGGCCAACACGAACCAAAATGAGGGTTTTGGACAGGGGTCTTCAAACATGGCCCTTTTAGGATTTTTGGACTTCAACTCCCAGAATTCCTCAGCCAGCATGGGGGAACTATGGCCCCTTCATGACTTGCGGACTTCAACTCCCAGAATTCCTCAGCCAGCGTCCCTGTGGTCAATTGTGGTCGTTAGAAAATAGAAAATCCTAATTTTTGAACGACGCCAAACTTCGACACATACTAGGAAAAAGTCCCTCTAACACACGGATACGTCCAAGACAAAAAAAACCAAAAAAAAAAACCCACCCCAGGATCTGTTTGACGAATAATGGAAGATGACAACAATTCCCATCGACCTGCTAGCAATTTCACCCTGATTGATTCATCATGTCTGATTGTATTACACCGTGGCTGAAAAGACGACAAAGTCGGGGTTCCTAACCCACGACGGCGGAGAGACAATCGGTCAATAAAATAAAATCACAAAACAGGACGACTGAAGGGATCAGCAGTGTTAGCAACAAAGGGCACGCCTATCGAATGCAAGCCGCACCCTCTGGGTGAAACTCCCGCGGGTTACTTGTCCCGAGTCCCAATGCTTCGTACGTCGATAGGCCGGAGGGCGAGTTTGCAAAAATCACAAGTGACAGTTTGATTGTATTACAACCGAATGAGTGGTCCGCTACTTCTACTTAGAGTCTAATTTGATCAAAACAGGTTATTCTACAGATTATTATTTTTTAAAAAACAAAAAATACAAACAGAAACACAAAAAGTCAGCCCAACTTGCTAAATTGGTTACTTATTAAAGGGTTTCCTGCCTGAGTAGGGTGATTGGACTAGACGACCTTCAAGGTCCCTTCCAACTCTGTTATTCTACTCTAGTCTACTCTACTCTACTCTGCTCTGCTCTGCTCTACTCTATTCTACATTTCTATTCTATTCTACTTTTCTATTCTATTCTATTCTATTCTATTCTATTCTATTCTATTCTATTCTATTCTATTCTATTCTATTCTATTCTATTCACTGAAAAAGTGACTTAGAATGATTTTCCACACTTACAACTGCTGCAGCCTCCCCGTGGTCACATGAATAAAATTCAGACGCTTGGCAACTGACTTGTATTTATGACGGTTGCAGTGTCGCCTGGGGTCACGTGATCCCCTTTTGCGAACTTCTGACGCGCAAAGTCAAAGGGGAAGCCAGAGTCACTGAACAAAGAACACTTAGTAACAATTAGTTGTTACTAATTTAACAACTGCAGAGATTCACTTCACAACCGTGGGAAGAAAGGTCGTAAAACGGGGCAAAACTCACCTAACATCGGTCTCGCTTAGCAACAGAAATGTTGGGCTCAATTGTGGTCATAAGCCGAGGACTACCTGTATCTGTGACTTGATATTTTCACCTCCACGGACAGAATAAGTTCAGCATTACAGGAATTTTTCTTCTTTTCGGAAGAAAGTGTATTTTTTTGCTTCCTATGTAAGAAGCAGCAGGGTGGACTAGAGCAGTGGTTCCCAACCTTTTGGGCACCAGGGACCGGTTCCGTGGAGAAAGGTTTTTATGTGGACTGGAGGGTGTGTGGTTTTATGTGCTGCCTGCATCCCATGGATGGGGCTTTGCTTGTTTGTGCGGACCGGTTGCTGGCATGCTGCAGCCCGGTACCGGTCCACGGCCCAGGGGTTGGGGACCCCTGGTCTAACAGAATGACAGAAGGGATAGGAAATAAAGAGGGCTAAATCAGAGAAGGTAACATGGTAGGAGAACTAAGATTTTAGCTTCTTATTGGCTCTCCCATTTTTAACCTATTGGAGTTTTCTTTAAACTTCACAGTGTTCCAGTATCTCAGGGGCTGCCCCAAAGAAGAGGGAGTCAGGCTATTTTCCAAAGCGCCTGAAGGCAGGACAAGGAGCAATGGGTGGAAGCTAACCAAAGAGAGAAGCAACCTAGAACTAAGGAGAAACTTCCTGACAGTTAGAACAATTAACCAGTGGAACAACCTGCTTCCAGAAGCGGTGAATGCGCCAACACTGGAAGTTTTAAAGAAAAAACTGGACAGCCATTTGTTCGAAATGGTATAGGGTTTCCTGCCTGAGCAGGGGGTTGGACTAGATGACCTCCAAGGTCCCTTCCAACTTTATCATCATTATTATTATAGCCCTAACTGGTCTCCCCCACCTGAAGGCCGAATCTGCAGCTCTTCTCTTGAGAAAGAAATGGCCCCTTTCTCACTGACATGATCCAGGTCTCTCCCCTTTCCTTCATTCAAAGATGGTCCCCAACCTTTTGGGCACCAGGGACCCGTTCCGTGGAGAGGTTTTTCTGCAGACTGCAGGGTGCGTGGTTTTGTGTGCTGCCTGCATTTCGCGAACGGAGCTTTGTTTGTTTGTGCAGACCGGTTGCTGGTACCGGCCCGGTACCAGTCCACTGCCCGGGGGGTTAGGGAGCCTGGACTAGAAGACCTCCAAGGCCCCTTCCAACTCTGTTATTCTATTCTAAGGTTTCATACACGCTGTAGTAATGCTGCAAGGTGACTTATTTTCACATAGATTAGATCAGGGGTCCCCAACCTGTGGGCCGCGGCCTAATCGCCACTGGACCGCCGGAGTAGCCGGACGGTGCGCACGCAGGGCTCCAGTTGTGCAAGCCTCGTTGCAGGCGCTCACGGCCCCACTTGCATGAGTGTCACCGCAAACATCGCAGGCGCTCGTGCGCAGGCACACACGAGCCTGCCCTTTCCACAAAACCATCCCTTTTTACCCCCCCTGCCCCCTACTCTGAGCCACCAACCCGGAAAAGTTGGGGAGCTGTGGATTAGATAACGAACAAGTGTAGGGAGACCCCGGGATACGCCCACAGAGGAACTGCTTCGAAAGTACAAGCCCTCCGTTTAACCTCTAAGGAGGAGCCAAAAAGTGACCGAGTTTATGCCACGTTCGGTGTAGCGAAAGCAAAGGAAGCCGCCGATTCTGCTGGAGACAAACACATTATCTATTCTACAGGATCGGCTCTCCCTTTGCGAATCACGACTTACAAGAAGGATACACAACCCCACCTGCCTGACCGACACGTGGCCTTGAACGTGCCCTTCCCATTCAGCTATTAAATCTTAATTTTTATGAAGAGGGGAATGGGACTAAATACAAGGAAAACAATGGTAACGATGGCTTTTAATTAACCGAAATTAATTGATGTCCATTTTTCATCCTGGCTTCTCTTCCTTTATGGAGCACGCTCTGTTACCCATTCAAAGGTCAGGCTACCTATCCATCAGCGCATCCCTAATTGCTAAGGTGTCAAGAGAGGACGGTGTGACATCATCATGTACAAATCTCGGAGAAATGACCTTGGTTATTTCAAAGGCCTGCTGGAAGGTCACCCATCTGCCTGAGACCCAGCAAGGAATCAAACTTCTTTCTTAGCAGACATTAAACCATGTTCCTGTTCAGGCTACAGGAAGTTCTCAACTTATAACCGTTTATTTAGTGACCGTTCCAACTTCTACTTCTATTTATTTTATTGATTAAACGGATATGCCACCCATCTCACCGTTAAGGTGACTCTGGGCAAAAGTTATGACAGCACTGAAAAAAGGGACGAACGAGCAGTCCTCACCCTTACGACCGTTGCTGCCTTCCCACCATCATCACGCGATCAAAATCCAGATGCTTGGCAACTGGTATGCATTTGTGACAGCTGCCGCGTCCTGGGGTCAAGCGTGTTCGCCCTTTCAAAGCTTCCCAGCTGGCTTCCGACAAGCAAAGGGAGCTGAATTCACTTAGTGGCAGTGTGAGCCACTTAACAACCAGGGTGATCTACTTATCAACCGTGGCAGAAAAAGGTTGTCAAATCAGGTGCCGCTCTGAAAAGGGAGATGGGTGGCATACAATTTTAATCAATAAAAGTAAAATAAATAAATAAGCGCCTCAGTTAGCAATGGAAATTCCGGTCCTGGTTATGGTGATAAGTTGAGGACTACCTATACTCAGGTTAAGGAGCAGATTGGACCTTCTGGGGTCCCTGGTGCTCGCTGAGCTTGGTGGTTTCCTTGCAGGCGTTTCATTAACGAAGTTGGTAACAGCATCAGTATTAGAAGGAAGTGGGAGAGGAGGAGGAGGAGGAGGAGGAGGAGGAGGAGGAGGAGGACGACGACGACGACGACGACGACGACGACGACTGTGGGGTCCTTGGTGCTCTCTGGCCTTGGTGCAGACATCATTCTTGATGATGTTACCTAGCTGGGTAATGAAACGTCTGCAAGAAAACAATCAAGTTCAGAGAGCACCAAGGACCACAGTGTCGTCCTTCACCTCCTCTTCCTCCTTCTGCACCTCCTCTTCCTCCTCTCTTTCCCCAAAACTCCACTCCCATCTAGTACTGATGAGGTTGTCTAGTTGGGTCATGAAACCTCTGCAAGAAAATAATCAAGTTCAGACAGCACCAAGGACCCCACAGTCCTCCTCCTCCTCCCTTTCTCCTTTCCCGCAAACCCCTCTCCATTCTAGCACTGATGACGTTCCCTAGTTGGGTCATGAAATGTCTGCAAGAAAACAACCTAGCTCAGAGACCACCAAGGACCCCACGGTTTAACTCTGAATTACAAATATTCTCAACTATCAAAATGAACCGTTCCCACAAGGGAGGTATTGTCCACCCTAACCCGTTTGCCCTACAAGTACTACTACTATTTGCTTCTTCTCTAAGTAGGTAATTAGAGGTAGCAGCTTACCTATAAAATATGCCAGCAGCACCACCAGCGTGATGGAGATGAGAATAGCACTAAAAGCGGCGCATTTCCAGGTACAATACTTGTATGGCTTCTTCAGGTTAAAGGCAGGCCTGGAAAACGTGCTTCTGGGGAGGGGCCGAGGGGGAGGCGAGTAGACCGTGCTGGATGTCAAGGGATACCCTGGCGAGGTGGTACAATAGAGTGGAGACGTCCCTCCAGGTTTAAACAGGAAGTGCCTGTGGAGTGAGAAAAGGACGGGTGTCAAAGCCGGCAAACCTGGGGGAGACTTTGGGCTGCGAAGCCTTGATTCAAAACCAACAAAGCCCAGATTTAGCATCATGCACCAGAGGAACAAAGGAGGAAAGAAAGAAAGAAAGAAAGAAAGAAAGAAAGAAAGAAAGAAAGAAAGAAAGAAAGAAAGAAGGAGGTAGGGAAGGAAGAAACAAAGGAAATACAAGAAAGAAAGAAAGAAAGAAAGGAAGGAAGGAAGGAAGGAAGGAAGAGGGAGGGAGGGAAGGAAGGAAATACAAGAAAGAAAGAAAGAAAGGAAGGAAGGAAGGAAGGAAGGAAGGAAGGAAGGAAGAAAGAAAAAAGAAGAAAGAAAGAAAGAAAGAAAGAAAGAAAGAAAGAAAGAAAGAAAGAAAGAAAGAAAGAAAGAAAGGAAGGAAGGAAGGAAGGAAGAAAGGAAGGAAGGAAGGAAAAGAAAGAAATGCAACCATGAAAGAAAAAAGAGGGGAAAAAGAAAAAAGAAAGAAAGGAAGGAAATGCAACCAAGAAAGAAAGAAAGAAAGAAAGAATGAAAGAAAGAAAGGCAGACAGAAAGAAAGAAAGAAAGAAAGAAAGAAAGAAAGAAAGAAAGAAAGAAAGAAAGAAAGAAAGAAAGAAAGGCAACCATTGTGTTCCATGGTTTTTCTATGTCTTATTATTTTGCTTTTTATTTTTATGCAGTTTTTAATTGCCCGGGATCATGTGTTCCCCTTTTGCAACCTTCTAACAAGCAAAGTCGATGGGGGAAGCCAAATTCACTTCACATCCCTTTTGCTAACTTAACAACTAATAATAATAATAATAGTAAAGTTGGAAGGGACCTTGGAGGTCATCTAGTCCAACCCCCTGCTCAGGCAGGAAACCCTATACCATTTCAGACAAATGGCTGTCCAGTTTCTTCTTAAAAACTTCCAGTGTTGGAGCATTCACCGCT